AAAGTGTACAATGGATCATTCAGGAATATACTCATTGCGGGGGTTGAGTTTCGGCTCTTTGGTCCCGCCTCTCAACTGTCAATCAACTGGTGTGTGTAGGTGTCAATGTACAGATGTGTAAGTTTGGAGGGGTTAAGATGTGTAAGTGTGCAGGTGTTGAGATGGGGGAAGTGTGTAGGTGCCCGGATATCTGAGTGTGCTATAGTTGTTTATTGTTTACTGAGCTCTAGCATATATTCCCTACCATCACCCAGATATTCCCTACCATCACCCAGATATTCCCCACCATCACCCAGATATTCCCTACCATCACCCAGATATTCCCCACCATCACCCAGATATTCCCTACCATCACCCAGATATTCCCTACCATCACCCAGATATTCCCCACCATCACCCAGATATTCCCTACCATCACCCAGATATTCCCCACCATCACCCAGATATTCCCCACCATCACCCAGATATTCCCCACCATCACCCAGATATTCCCCACCATCACCCAGATATTCCCCACCATCACCCAGATATTCCCCACCATCACCCAGATATTCCCCACCATCACCCAGATATTCCCCACCATCACACAATTATTCCCCACCATCACCCCAGATATTCCCCACCATCACCCAGATATTCCCCACCATCACCCAATTATTCCCCACCATCACCCAGATATTCCCCACCATCACCCAGATATTCCCCACCATCACCCAGATATTCCCCACCATCACCCAGATATTCCCCACCATCACCCAGATATTCCCCACCATCACCCAGATATTCCCCACCATCACCCAGATATTCCCCACCATCACCCAGATATTCCCCACCATCACCCAGATATTCCCCACCATCACCCAATTATTCCCCACCATCACCCAGATATTCCCCACCATCACCCAATTATTCCCCATCATCACCCAGATATTCCCCACCATCACCCAATTATTCCCCACCATCACAGAATTATTCCCCACCATCACCCAGATATTCCCCACCATCACCCAATTATTCCCCACCATCACCCAAATATTCCCCACCATCACCCAGATATTCCCCACCATCACCCAGATATTCCCCACCATCACCCAGATATTCCCCATCATCACCCAGATATTCCCCACCATCACCCAGATATTCCCCACCACCACCCAGATATTCCCCATCATCACCCAGATATTCCCCACCATCACCCAGATATTCCCCACCATCACCCAGATATTCCCCACCATCACCCAGATATTCCCCACCATCACCCAGATATTCCCCACCATCACCCAATTATTCCCCACCATCACCCAATTATTCCCCACCATCACCCAATATACATAATGGGAAGTTTTATTCCCGTAATCTCTTCTAATTTTCTCAGCTGCTCTTAAAGTCTAATAAAAATAAAGGCATAAAAATAATAAAATTGATGTTACTCATTATGCAAATTGAACGTAAATTACTTGTAAGGAATTAATGGTAAAGTTGATCATTTTCTATAGTAATACTTTTAAAGAATTTGTTTAATTAATTAAATTTATTTGTTCATTATTTCCCCCTAAATACCGCGTTGTTGGATTTTTTTTTCATTTTACTTTGATTATTTTTTTGTAAAGTAATTTGTGTTTATCGAGCGTCTGTTCTCTTATTAGTTATTTAATACCAGGTGAAGTTATATATTGAGATTTTGTAATGCTATCTCATTGTGTTAGGTCTTATGTGATGTTATCTCTGTCTTATGTGATGTTATCTTGGCGTTATGTGTTGTTGTCTTTGTGTTGACATGTTATCTTGTCAGCTGTTATCTGATCTGTCACCTATCAGATGTCACCTGATCTCTCACCACCTGTCACCTGTCATCTTATCTGTCACCTGTCATCTGATCTGTCACCTGTCATCTGATCTGTCACCTCCTGTCAGCTGTTACGACACCATAATTTAGTCGTCAATCATAATTCATAATCATCAATCATAAATCATAATTCATAATTCGGTACATTATTGATGTTCCGTTATCGTAACCCTTATCGTAACCCTTGATAACATATAATACGAGCAGCGTAAAGAGGGAGTAAAGGGCTGGACTCCGACCTCCAACTTGAGGTCATTACTCAGAATTAATTTACCAAGTGTTCAGTGTGTAATTATCGCAAGTTAAAAATCAATGGTAAAATCTATGCTGTGAAATGAGTTTATATTTTTTTTATGCATTAGGAAAATAAACTCGCCCGGTACATTTCTTGTTTGTGTTTATGTGGAGTGGTTAATGGTTATTGATTGGCTAGGTTTGTGTGTGTGTGTGTGTGTGTGTGTGTGTGTGTGTGTGTGTGTGTGTGTGTGTGTGTGTGTGTGTGTGTGTGTGTGTGTGTGTGTGTGTGTGTGTGTGTGCGCGCGCGCGAAAGTGACCCAATTCGCGGACAGGAAACACTGTCATCTCCAGTAGGTGCTATAATTCATCTTACAACCATACATAAGGGTGCAAGTCTCTATCTTTCATACACGAACCCATGTTTATCTTTTAATAAAAACAAATTATGTAGGTGTGTAAACAATCCATTCAAACACCGTTGAATGGAATTCAATCACACTTGGCACGGCTTCCCAATTTGGGCGGAGAAAGGCTCCGCGCTGTGAAGGGTTTTAACTCCTTATGCCCAGCATGCATCAATTACCCTTATGACTCACTACAAGAACCTCATTTGAGGTTTTTCCTTTACAAGTTGCTCCACACCTCATTAAAAGGTGTTTTGCCATATTGGGCTAGAGTTTAGGGAAGTGTGGGCATCGTGGTTCTGCAGTTAGCCCGCGACTTTGTTCCACTACTCAGAGTTCTCAGCCTGACACGTTATCGTCTGGGGTCGCCAAACAGCTGCCTATAACAGTGTGTTTATCTACCAAAGGTACTGGCGCCGTGCATGTAGATGGAAAGTTGTGTGTTTAACTCTTCATGGGAAAACCGGACACATCAGCCACTTGTGCCATCGCGATTACGGGCTATTCATGCCCGTGCCACCTTTTGGGTGGCTAAATCTTCATCAATCAATCTGTGCCATCGTGACCTTTAAATCAACAGCAACAATATGGATGGAGAGTGTTTGTAACGAAGATGTGCACTGGATTGAATCGTGTCTGAGAATGAAACAGTGTTCGTAACAGCGTGTGTGGAAGTAACCCACGTAATTAGGATTCTTGGGAAGTGTTGAGCACATGTCCTTGCTACACAGTGTTATTCATCTTATGATGAATATCAGTGGGTAGTAGAGATGAGTGGCCTCAATGTCAACCCCCCGGATAATGCCAGGTACCTCAGCTAGTTTGTATATTTAACTGAAGGGAATAATTACCAACTCAAGTTCCTCTGCCTTACTCATCCCTGGTAGTGAACTGGATCACAACATACAACTACAACCATGTGGGATATACAACCTCAGTGAAGAGTCACTATCTCTGTACAACATAAAGCTAAGCTTCAGAAGTATGCCGGACAAAAAATGCCAAAGAAATTAAATATCACGAAACTGGAATAGAGATGATTTAGGTGAAACTTGATTACTACATATAAAATACTCAGGGAGATTGACAGACTAAGTACCCGATTCAGCTATATACATATATGAAAATAAAATCCAGGCAGTCTCTCAGTAACCAGGTTCAAAGTTTGATATGACAGCTCCCCGAAAGGTTGGGGAATCTATACATCTGTTTGATTGAGAGACGGGACCCAAGAGCTTAAATTCAACTCCCATAACCGTACATTCGCTCAAGCACGAACACACACACACACACACACACACACACACACACACACACACACACACACACACACACACACACACACACACACACACACACACACACACACACACACACAGTTCAGAGGTATGCCACTAGGCTAGTCCCAGAACTAAGAAGCATGACTTATGAGGACAGACTACGTGAACTGCACCTCACGTCGCTGGAAGACAGAAAAGCTATGGGAGACATGATCACCACATACAAAAATCTCAGGGGAATTGACATGGTGGACAAGGATGGATTATTTAACACGGGTGGCACACGCACACGGGGTTACAGGTGGAAGCTGAATACCTAAATGAGTCACAGAGACATTAGAAAGAACTTCTTCAGTGTCAGAGTAGTTAGTAAATGGAATGCATTAAGTAGTGATGTGGTGGAGGCTGACTTCATACACAGTTTCAAATGTAATTATGATAGCCCCTAATAGGCCCCGGAATCTATACATCGGTTGATTGACTAATGAGAGGCGGGAGAAATGACCCGAAGTTCAACCCCTGCAAGCACATCTAGGTGAGTACACACACCCGTGGGACCACCAGCAACCATAAATGCTACCAATATCTTTACTAAACTAATAATAACACACATAAACAATCATTCATTCAGTCACGAGAAAAATATTTTTATGTTTAGCCTTAAATATAAAACAAATGAAATTCTTTATACAAAATGAAAGTGTAGGAAAAGTATGATATCCAGGATAACTTAGCGTCGGCCTCGAAGGGTTAGTGAACATTGTTCAAGTTCCTTCACTTTGCTATTGTATAAGCCTAAATACTCTCACGCTGATCATATTGTGAAATATGATCAGCACGCACAATTGAAAGCTCCTACAAACACTTCACAATTAAAAGGCGGGTCTCAGGAGCTCAAGCTTGCCCTGCAAGTGCATATAAGTTATTACACTTTCAAGTACAAGATCAAAACAATCCACCACATCGATACAAATACACACATGCCTGTAAGGTTTACACTCATCTTAAATAAAGAGACAAGAGTCTTCAAAACACACATTTACCTCTTTTAAATACAAGAATAACCTTCCATTCTCATAGACACGCACACTCACATATGTACTATAACCATACACATTAAAAATTCACAAGGAAACACGCAAATAAGGAACCATACAGTCCAGACACCATCGTAAGAACGTAAATACACCTATATGAGCACGAACACAAAGTCTCGGAGACACCGTAACTTACCTTGAAAGACATGTAGAGATAATGTGAGTCAACAGGTGGTTGAGAAACGATGGCAAGAGAGCAGATGGATGGGGGACAAGGCTCCGGTGCGGTGTTGACCGAGACTGATGCAAGAATGATCTGGGGTGTACGAATGGTGTCTCCTCTTTATATACCTCCCTCCCTCCCACCTCCGGCTGGCCTCGGCCAATCACAGCCAACAGCACTTCGCTGCCTCGCTCAGTCTCAACCAGTCTCGGGCCTGTTTTTCGCTCGCTGCCTCTCCAGTGTTCGTCCAATCAAAAGGCAGTATCTCACGACTGCCGTTCCCAGTCATTGAGGGATCCCGACAAATGATATTGGTGCGTGTCATGTGTTTGATTACGGGGTTAGGGGAGAGACAGAAAGGTTTAGGGAAGGGAGCGGAGGCCGCTGCGTTATTGGCCTCCTCACGACTTTCCGTTATTGAACATTTTCACCGAAGATTATACGCTCAGATTTAGGTATTATACATATTTAGGAATTTGTCTATATTTGTTCCTTCGTGAAAAGTAGTATACTTAAGAGGTGTGTGTATATTTGCGTGTGCTATTATGGCGCTAAGTCCTCACAGCAGACATAAAGGCAGACAGCAGCAGACATATATCTCCGATAAGCCATTCATCATACACCAGTATTAAATGAGTTGTCAACAAGGATGTCATCTTTCAGCGCATGGCTTCGCCCTTCATCACGTGTGGTAGACTCAACTATATTGCATATAATATACACTGTTAATATTGAGCTTAAGCACAGAGAAAACAGCTGTGCTGACGAGCTCTGAGCTCCATATTCTCAAAATGGTTGGAAAATCTCCCCAAAAGACATAATTTATTATTGATATGCAGGCGATGAGTCACAATAACGTGGCTGAAGTATGTTGACCAGACCACACACTAGAAATTGAAGGGACGACGACGTTTCGGTCCGTCCTGGACCATTCTCAAGTTGATTGTGATCAATCACAATCACAATCGACTTTATTATTGATTTACGAATGCTTTAAATGAATTGTTCTAGTTTATCTTTATATTTTTTATTTAATTATTGATGGTCGCCGGTCGGCCGAGCGGACAGCACGCTGGACTTGTGATCCTGTGGTCCTGGGTTCGATCCCAGGCGCCGGCGAGAAACAATGGGCAGAGTTTCTTTCACCCTATGCCCCTGTTACCTAACAGTAAAATAGGTACCTGGGTGTTAGTCAGCTGTCACGAGCTGCTTCCTGGGGGTGGAGGCCTGGTCGAGGACCGGGCCGCGGGGACTCTAAAGCCCCGAAATCATCTCAAGATAACCCCTCAAGATGGTTATGAGAATGAGATGAGGAGTAAGTGAAACCTGGCGGGGCTCGACCGTAGAGTTGTACACCAGGTAGCAATAAATAATGCAGATGTACCTAATATGTTAATAAAAAAAAAACATAGTGCTTTCCTAATTAGCTGTGTATTCGGGTACGATTTGTTATCTCTCTCACACACACACACACACACACTCACACACACACACACACACACACACACACACACACACACACACACACACACACACACAATAAGGCAAGAAAGAGAAGGGTGGGCAGACTGCATATTTTTGGATTGTCAGAAAGCCTTTGATACAGTGCCACACAAGAGGCTAGTGCGAAAGTTGGAGATGCAGGCTGGAGTGAGAGGGAAGGTACTCCGGTGGATAGAGGAATACCTAAGCAACAGGAGACAACGAGTCTGTGTGAGGGGTGAGGTCTCAGATTGGCGAGACGTCACAAGTGGAGTCCCGCAGGGGTCAGTCCTTGGACCTATACTGTTTCTGGTATATGTAAATGATCTCCCAGAGGGTATAGATTCGTTCCTCTCAATGTTTGCCGACGATGCAAAAATTATGAGGAGGATTGAAACAGAGGATGATAGTAGGAGGCTACAAGATGACCTGGATAGACTGAGTGAATGGTCCAACAAATGGCTGTTGAAGTTCAACCCGAGTAAATGCAAAGTAATGAAACTAGGCAGTGGAAACAGGAGGCCAGGCACAGGATACAGAATAGGAGATGAAGTACTTAATGAAACAGACAGAGAGAAAGATCTAGGAGTTGATATCACACCAAACCTGTCTCCTGAAGCCCACATAAAGAGAATAACGTCTGCGGCATATGCGAGGCTGGCTAACATCAGAACGGCGTTCAGGAACCTGTGTAAGGAATCATTCAGAATCTTGTACACCACATATGTAAGACCAATCCTGGAGTATGCGGCCCCAGCATGGAGCCCGTACCTTGTCAAGCACAAGACGAAGCTGGAAAAAGTCCAAAGGTATGCTACTAGACTAGTCCCAGAACTAAGAGGCATGAGTTATGAGGAAAGGCTGCGGGAAATGCACCTCACGACACTGGAAGACAGAAGAGTAAGGGGGGACATGATCACAACCTACAAAATCCTCAGGGGAATCGACCGGGTAAACAAGGACGAACTTTTCAACACTGGTGGGACGCGAACAAGGGGACACAGGTGGAAGCTGAGTACCCAAATGAGCCACAGAGACGTTAGAAAGAACTTTTTCAGTGTCAGAGTAGTTAGCAAATGGAATGCATTAGGAAGTGATGTGGTGGAGGCTGACTCCATTCACAGTTTCAAATGTAGATATGATAGAGCCCAATAGGCTCAGGAATCTGTACACCAGTTGATTGACGGTTGAGAGGCGGGACCAAAGAGCCAGAGCTCAACCCCCGCAAGCACAATTAGGTAAGTACACACACACACACACACACACACACACACACACACACACATTTGGGACCAAAGAGCCAGAGCTCAACCCCCGCTAGCACAATTAGGTGAGTACACACACACACACACACACACACACACACACACACACACACACACACACACACACACACACACACACACACACACACACACACACACACACACACATTTGGGACCAAAGAGCCAGAGCTCAACCCCCGCAAGCACAATTAGGTGAGTACACACACACACACACACACACACACACACACACACACACACACAACACGGAATCTGTACACCTGTTGATTGACGGTTGAGAGGCGGGACCAAAGAGCCAGAGCTCAACCCCCGCAAACACAACTAGGTGAGTACAACTAGGTGAGTACACAGAGGACGTTTATTACAGAGACGTTAGAAGGAACTTTTTCAGTGTCAGAGTAGTTAACGGATGGAATGCATTGGGCAGTGATGTGGTGGAGGCTGACTCCATACACAGTTTCAAATGTAGATATGATAGAGCCCAGAAGGCTCAGGAACCTGTACACCAGTTGATTGACAGTTGAGAGGCGGGACCAAAGAGCCAAAGCTCAACCCCCGCAAGCACAAATAGGTGAGTACAAATAGATGAGTACAGGAAGCAGCCCGTAACAGCTGTCTAACTCCCAGGTACCTATTTATTGCTAGGTAACAAGGGCATTAGGGTGAAATAAACTGCCTATTTGTGTCTGCCGTCTGGTGTGTGATAATGTGTGTACTTACGTTGTTACCTAGTTGTGCTTGCGGTGGTTGAGTTTTGGCTCTTTGGTCCCGCCTCTCAACTGTCAATCAACTGGTGTACAGGTTCCTGAGCCTACTGGGCTCTATCATATCTACATTTGAAACTGTGTATGGAGTCAGCCTCCACCACATCACTGCCTAATGCATTCCATTCGTCAACTACTCTGACACTGAAAAAATTCAGTGATGACTTTGTCCAAGAATACATTCAGTGTGTGTGTGTGTGTGTGTGTGTGTGTGTGTGTGTGTGTGTGTGTGTGTGTGTGTGTGCGTGTGTGTGTGTGTGTGTGTGTACTCACCTAATTGTACTCACCTAATTGTGCTTGCGGGGGTTGAGCTCTGGCTCTTTGGTCCCGCCTCTCAACCGTCAATCAACTGGTGTACAGATTCCTGAGCCTATTGGGCTCTATCATATCTACATTTGAAACTGTGTATGGAGTCAGCCTCCACCACATCACTTCCTAATGCATTCCATTTACTAACTACTCTGACACTGAAAAAGTTCTTTCTAACGTCTCTGTGGCTCATTTGGGTACTCAGCTTCCACCTGTGTCCCCTTGTTCGCGTCCCACCAGTGTTGAATAGTTCATCCTTGTTTACCCGGTCGATTCCCCTGAGGATTTTGTAGGTTGTGATCATGTCCCCCTTACTCTTCTGTCTTCCAGTGTCGTAAGGTGCATTTCCCGCAGCCTTTCCTCATAACTCATGCCTCTTAGTTCTGGGACTAGTCTAGTAGCATACCTTTGGACTTTTTCCAGCTTCGTCTTGTGCTTGACAAGGTACGGGCTCCATGCTGGGGCCGCATACTCCAGGATTGGTCTTACATATGTGGTGTACAAGATTCTGAATGATTCCTTACACAGGTTCCTGAACGCCGTTCTGATGTTAGCCAGCCTCGCATATGCCGCAGACGTTATTCTCTTTATGTGGGCTTCAGGAGACAGGTTTGGTGTGATATCAACTCCTAGATCTTTCTCTCTGTCTGTTTCATTAAGTACTTCATCTCCTATTCTGTATCCTGTGCCTGGCCTCCTGTTTCCTCCTGTGTGTGTGTGTGTGTGTGTGTGTGTGTGTGTGTGTGTGTGTGTGTGTGTGTGTGTGTGTGTGTGTGTGTGTGTGTGTGTGTGTGTGTGTGTGTGTGTGTGTGTGTGTGTGTGTGTGTGTGTGTGTGTGTGTGTGTGTGTGTGTGTGTGTGCACAACAATAAGGAGGGTGGTCAGCTAGGGTCAGAAGACGACCCCTAGGAGGCACCACTGGCTAACATAACAATACGGGCTGTAAACACACACACACACACACACAACTGCTAAGTGTATCAGTATACACACCCCCTAATTCATCCATAAACCCAAGAGTATATCACATCATAAAAGTTTTATTATGAATATTTCTCGAAAGTAGCATATAGTATAAATTATTTCGTATTTTACATACATTTTGGAGAAGGATGGACCCCCTTGACTTGATGACCACAAGCTGACACACCTGGTGTCACACACACACACCTGACACACCTGGTGACACTTTATATGTGGCTCGTGACGTAGCCATCTATAGGTAACCATCGTGAGGGTGT